ACGGATAATAAAGATCCACTACCAACCAATAGGCCATTACATACAACTTTACACTTCATACATAGATTACAAAATCTTAAAAAATTCGTCTGGAAAAATCCCAATATCAGCGAATGGAGAACATATCATCATTTCTTCGATAGAATAGAATTTCAAAACCGTGGAGCTGCACATCTACATGGCGTTTATTGGACGACATCGAGTATATCTGAAATGATCATCCAGAATACTATTAGATCAACCCTTCCGAATCCAACTTTAGAATCTGAACTGTACAGAAAAGTTAGTTTGCTACAAATATACACTTGCAACTCTAAATGTGGTGGTCCCGCTCCGCCTAACTCTAGATACAAAAAAGAATTTCTTCGACTTTTCGCTGAATATACCTACTATGACTCGAGTAATTACAGATACACTTATCAATGCTTGACACCTAGGGATCAATGAGTTGTTCCATACCATGCCCCTACCTTAATTACTTGTAGTGCCCATATGAACGCACAATACATTACTAATAAAGGACTTGCTCGATATATAACCAAATATATAAGCAAATCTGAACCAACGCACCTGTTTAACATCTGTGAACAACTGTGCTACCGAGAATATATCCATGCCTGACGAATGGGTTTGATGGAAATAATGTTTTTATTGCTTGGCGAATACATCACAAACTTTTCAATCCAGGTACAATTCTTAACAACAGATCCTCCAAACACTCGAACAAAAGCCATGCTTCCATTATACATGATAGATTCTCTCAATGATAACCCTTATTGGTCTGATAAAATAGAAAAATATTTTGCTCGTCCGAATGATTCCGAATTTGATACCATAACCTATAAAACTTATTTTGAAAGTTATAAAATCAAATCTACTAGACCTAGTACATCTAGAAGAACGATATATTATGACAATTTAGGAAACATCGATCTTAAACGTGATAACAAAATACTTACTAGATATCGATTTCTTAGGCCAGACCACGGTGAACCATTTTTTTACCAACAATTACTATTAAAATTTTCTTGCAGATCAGAACAAGAAATGCTTGGGGAATATCAAACATATCGAGATCACTTCTTTTCCCATTTTCCTGACCTTTATCAATCTATAATCATACAAAATTCAGAATTTGTATCAAATCAGTCAACCTATGCCCAAATTCAATATGACACAATAATAGAAACTATTACCTCTTCTCTACAATCTACCCTAAAAATAATATCGTGAACATTATCAGATCGCAACTAAACTCTCTCAAAATACTTCTCCAAACAATACCTACAAATATAATAGCAAATCTAACACCAAGTTAATATCATTGCTACCAAACAATAACCAACTATTTAGGCAAACGAGATGCGTCCCACTACCCTTACTTTTTTATTACAGGATCTGCTGGCAACGGTAAATCATTCATGATACTCGCTCTATTAGAATATTTTCGCAGAATCGGACGTAATTTCCTACTGATAGCTTCTACAGGAATATCAGCTCAAAACATTGGTGGAACAACAATCCATTCTACCTTATGAATAATCTCAGATGAGAGAGGCTTTCGCACTCTCATATTTCGTGATCAGGAGTACTGTAACACCCTTCGTTTAATCAACACTCTTATTATCAAAGAAATTTCCATGGTATCTGAACCCTTATTAACATATATATCTGAACTATTTGAACACTTACACCAAAATAATCATCCATTTGGTGGTATTAATGTCATTTTAGTCGGTGACCTAGCCCAACTACCACCCGTTAACGCTCCCCCAGTATATCAATCCCCTGTATGAAAAATCTTCTACCCATTATTTCTTTGTGATCCTCAAAGACAAAATAATGATACTCGCTTCTACGATCTACTACAAAAAATCAGATTTGGTATTATTGACGACCAAGTATGGAATATATTAACACAAAAATTTCAAGAAACAACTCGATCAACCTAAATAAATACAACCCTTAATACTACTTATGTAGTAGGTTACCGCCGAACTGCTGAATTAATCAATCGAACAATTTGTGCTTCGATCCCTGCAAGTGAAGATAAAATCTTAATCTCAGACTACACCGATATAATAGACGGACGAATATGTCCTGATAATTCAAGATACTGTGAATTTACTAGTAAAACTAATCTACCAAGCACAATAAGAATTCAACCAGGTGCAAGAGTTATGTACCTAAATAATTCACAATACAGATACTGAATCACTAATGGTACAATAGGTGTTGTAACTGATCTCGACTTACAAACTGGCCTCGTCTATGTCAGTTTCTGTGTCGAAGGAGCTATTGTCAATGTCTCTTTTACTAAATATACACACCATTTTTATCTCAATGGCATCCCTGCTAGCCATATACAATATCCAATACAAAATGCCTTTGCACTAACAGTTCATAAAACACAAGGACTAACCCTTCCTAATCTATCCATGAACCTGGACAATCAAATTTTCGAATCTGGGCAAGCCTACGTAGCCTTAAGTCGATGTACAAATTGGGAACATGTAAAAATACACTCGCTCGACCGTGACGCATTCATTACTGATCAAACTATGATTGAAGAATATAATTGACTAGAATCTATGGCTCGAGAACCACTACCCTTTAACAGATAATACTTTTTCTTCATAAACCTCATCTAGAATAACATAAATTATGTCAACTACCTTCTAACCTAATAACCAAACAAAATACAAACTAAAAAATATTCTTACCGTTACTCCACACTACGATCAATTTACCAATAAACTTCAACATATAACAATAAATAAATCTACATCGACAAATTACTGTATTGACTGCTACTGTGTACAAAAAAAAAAAATCTATGTTAATATTACTTTATAAAATAAAAAAAAAAAAAGAATAACAAAAAATACTATTTCATAAAAAATGTTAATCGAACTACATAGAAAAATTAATAAAAATTGCAAATTTTCTTGATCGACCCCTATTTATATGAAATCTAAATTTGTTGATCGACCTCATTTATATAAAAATTAATCTACTCACACACGTGATACCCCATCATGTTACACACGGCGGCGAAGCCGCCATATGATCATGTACTAGTTTAATATATAAGGAATGTGATTAAAATTTTATTTATAACTTAATCTAATATTAAATGTATATTATTTATTTCTATGATAAAATTGATTTACCGGTACATTTTTTTTAAATTCTAACGCTAAATCGTAAATATTACATTACGAAAAAAAGGCAGTTGACTGTTAGTAGATGGCTGCTGTTTCAAAAACGATTAACAATTCGAATTGGGTAAATTTTTATATATTATTCATCAAATATCTTTCTATACCATGTACAAATTCGCTGCAGTTTGAACTATTGGTTAGCAAGAAAATTAATATAAACGATTACGTATCTTAAATTTTCAATTTATCCGGTTGATTGGTTATTTCATATTAATTTTCTCAACTAGTAATTCAAATTTTTATATATTGTAGAAAAATGCTTGATCTATATTATATAAAAATTGTGATTAATTTGGATCACTGGTTATTGAGAAACTTGATATACAGTATAACATAGTCTATAGGTTTACGAATTGCATTGATGTATTTTTAAAAAAAGTAATTAGCAAATTTCTTGATAATCAACTGTCCATGTTTATGTATTATACAATAAATATCTTAGTTTAATACGCAAAATTTTGATGTAGTTTAGATAACCAGTTGTCAAGAAAGAAATTTAAAATTGGAAAATTTTATATGATTCTTTACATAATTCAAATTACAGTCTGCCTTCGTTCTAACGTAGTGCTCGTGATGGGAAACCTTGTCTATTATAAATTCATTATAAAGTTATAGAGTATAATAATAAAAATTTTAAATTGTTCTTAAAAATTTTAGAAGATTTCTCCGTGGATCCGCTATAACTGAATCCGTTATAACGAGGGTAGACTATATATCTTTTTTTTTTACGTAGCAAAAGTTGGAATATTCATATAGACTGTCCAAGCTAACTAAATGGAAATAAACTAATAATAAACTTAATACCTCAATATACTGTACAAAAGTTATTTGTAAAATATTATATTTTCCTTGAAAGCTATGTGTAGGATTTTAGGCCTAAAAAGGGTTTATACTAAATTAAGCGATCAACCAAAATAAATTAGTGCTTCGATAAAGACAATAAGGCATTATAAAACTATGTTGAGTTTAAACCTATCAGTAACTTACCAAGTACAAGAGTAATTTACAGCTGTAATAAATATGCACTAATCCGTTATCCAGTTTAAATTCTGAAATTAGTGTGTTTTAGTGAATAAACTTACAAAACCTGCATTTCTTTCCGAAATAATACAAAATTTTTAATTTATCAATACTAATAGAATGATTTATCTTTATGTCTGAGGTTGTTATCAATATGAAGCTAGAAACAACAGCCCTAGATAGATCCGGATTACATATTTATCATAGGCCTAATTGTAATTAAAAAAAATTATTTGTACACGCTAAATTTGTAAATCTTTAGGTCTATTCAAATTTCTTAATTTATTTTATTATTGATTTGTTCGAGCGCAGTATGTAGAAATTATGTACGGTACGATCAAATTCTTGTACTGTACAGTATGGTACGGTACTATATTTATTAATATAAATGTGTACTGTACCATACTGTATACGTAATAATGAAGCTGTAAGATACATATGCTACATTTTTTGATTGTTATGCGATTTTATAAAATTTGTAAATGCTACATTTTTTTAAATGTTTTTGAATGTTTGTGCGATTTTATGAAATTGCAGCAGTAGAAATATTTATTTTTTAAATGTATTAAATTTTATTTATGACATTTCATATTTATATCACAAAAAAAATTTTTTTAAAAAAAAACTTAAAAGTATTATTACTATTATTCAACGAAATTATTATGACTGTTTTAAATTATTGAGTTTTTCACGTAATGAAATTTCTTCTTTAAGAATTTCTAAGTTTTTTTGCCGCAATTCGAGTTTTTTGTTTTCTCATTCGATATAATTGTCTTGTTCCTGTGTTGTAGGAACCATAGTTAAAGTTGATGTAGAAGATAAGGACAAATCTTCACTTTTTCCACCATTTAATGCTTGGTTTTTACGCTTTTTTTGTGATGTAGACCTTGATGTGGGTTCTTTATTTTTAGCTTTTCATTTTTCTAAATAACATAAAAACAATTAAATTATATAAATTATCAAACTAAAAAAAAGAAGACAAATTAAACTTACGGGTTCTTTTTGAATTATTTGTTAAACGGCCTAATTCAGATTTGTCTCTATACGATTCATGTACATTATATTTTTCATATGTTTTGGCCGAATTCCATTGATATTGATCGAAATCATTACCTCTATAATTACAGAATTAAAAAAAATATATTTTTTTTATTATTTTTTTAATGAAAGTCTTGGTGCCACCCGGGGTGGTGGATAATTTTTTGTCACCCCGTCTAAATTAAATAGTAATTTGATAGCACACATTAGGGTTAGAGGACGCTGAGGTCAGGGACAGATAGTCAATTTAGTATTTAATTTAGATAGCATGACCGAAGTTCTATTTTATTGGTTGAAAACATGCAATCTGCAGATCCCACTTTATTAAATTTGATTGGCTAGTCACACTTCTATATAAAGATAATTTTATGAAAAAAGTGTCGTTCAAAAGTCCTGTGTAATAAAGTTTAACTTTATTGTAGTGGTTGTAGGTGGTTGTAAGTTTCCGAAGGTGGTTAATCTTCATAATAGTAAGAGTTTTCACTATAATCAAACCTTTTTTATAAAGTTTGCGTGGTTAAGTT